CACACACACACACACACACACACACACACACACACACACACACACACACACACACACACACACACACACACACACACACACACACACACACACACACACACATCAGCACAGACGTTTTGGAACCAGAACCATTAATAAAATCACAGAAAGAGAAAGTGAACGCTGAAATGTGCCAACTCATGAGCCGTGATGACCTTGAATGACCCTGAGAAAGCTTCGTGTTTGGTGTCTTGAGTTGTTACTCTAGCAGAGTGACATCACCTCTCAGTTTTACATCACATGTCTGATGCAAAACAAAAACGACAGAACTTAACTTTTATCGTCTTGTAGGCTTTAATTGATGTTATTTACCCAAACAATATTGATTTACTGTCATTTAAGGAAGTGGCTTGTACGTAATTAAAACAACACAGGGTGGCTTTCTAATGAGCCACATGAGCTCCAATATGAGTGACAGAGTCGATAACGATAAATTATGAACATCTCAGTAAAGCTCTGCCTCGACCCCCCCACAGAGTTCACTGTGTCACTCGCAGGTTAGTCTAATGGTAACCTCTCTCTGTTCACTTGCTGTGATGCCGCTTTGACTAAATCTGTAGTAATCCACACGGACAAGTGTCTGCAGAAGCTCTTAAAACAAATGAGCGGCTGATCCTCAGTGCCAATAGATAATAATGATGGTTTTGTTTTGACCTCTAGCGCTCGCTGCTGCTGAGGTGCTTTAATGAAGAAAACATCTGTATGATGAGGTAAGTAAATCACATCCATCAATGGTGAGCTAATAATTTGTCACTTTTTAAGGAATAAACATTTAAGAAGCAATACAAACATTATGAAAGCACACATTGTTCTGTAGAAATAATTTGGAACAGGCAAGGGCTTTTAGAAAGAGTTAAAAGGAGCTTAAAGCTGGAGTATGAGGAGTTTTGTTGGTGCTTGTCTCCCTTTTTTGCTTGAAATGCTCTTCACATACAGATGGCAACCAACAAACTAGACGTACGGTCACAAATCACCTCTGAAATGTACAATCCTGGAAAAACTTAATCGCTTGTAGTAGCTAGATCATGATCCATCCATCCTTTGACCGTCCTCCCCTCTCTGCACATACCCATCTATGTGCACGAATCGCACATTCTCGGCTTGGAGCAGTTGAACAGGAAGTGAAGCCATAGCTGCCATAGCTTGTGTAAAGGACAAAATTTCCTGTTTGTTTGCAAATTTCATTTAAGAAATTGTTTTACATGTTCTTTTTAAAGTCTGCTTCCATTCTTGTTGGGAAACCTTTCGGTGACGGAGCTGTTGTCTGTGAATGCAGCCAGCCTTCTGTCGGCTGGCAGAACCTTCAGTTTGTTGTCTTGGCATTGTGTGTGTCTGTGTGTGTTTAAGTGTGGGAGAGCGAGTTCGGGTTCTAGAAGTTTTAACCTGTTGTTCCTGTGGTTTTCCCAGACTGTTGGTGGCACTAAGCTGCTGCGATTTAGTTAGGAACAAACCATGAAAGTTAATAAAAGCCACCTTTTTCACCATAAAAACGTCACGCTAGCTAGCATGCTAAATTGTTACATGTTTACAGACGTGGGTTATGTTAGGAATTATATCAATGAGTTGAAAACTTAAGATAATCTCATGTTTTTATGGATGTTTGATGTTGCTTCCAGCTGTGACCATCAGATTCTGTGACTCGAGCCGTTTGATAAAACAATGCCGTCAATTTGCCGCAATGCTGATGCAGCATCAGGGAGCCTTAGGTCATTTATAAGTAGTGGTCAGACTGTTGCAGTAATGTGGTGCAACCGTGTCCTTTTCGCGGTGGGGTTGCGCGGTGGCTGTGGGGTGGGGGTATGGGGGCGGCCCCTGCGCTGCCACGAACTTTCGTTTATTTTGGACATAACTTGCTTTTTATTGCGATCGAAGCCCCACTCATTACGTTTTTTAACAAGCTGCTTCTAAAGGTGTCTGTCCCCCACAGTCCCTGTGTAGTGGTCTGACCCCCAGCTCTAGCGGAGAAAAGCTCCAGATTATCATCTCAGCTGATTCTGTTGACAAAAGCAAAACCTACGGCCCGTTTTTACTTTCATTTTCAATATAATTGCGGGCCGGAGCTCGGCAGTAACTCCCCACGTGACCACAACACCTCCCTCTTTTGCGCCAAGGCGCAATTGTCGTTTATATAACAGACAATTACCGCAATATTACTACCAAGCGAGGCGGAACAAATACAGCAAAATTCGCGCATCGCCATGCCAACATGGCGTGTTTATAAGACACACTGTTGCTGTAATATTATGCTGATTTGCCGGCATGGTGCGTCTTGTAAAAAGGGCTTAGGAGGGAGCCTGAAAAAAGTTTTTTTTTTTAAATTGTAGCGGCCCGCAGGCGGGTTAAATCCGGCCCGCGAGATGGTTGTGTAAACTTTATTTTCATACTTTACATTGTAGAATGAAAATAAACTTATCTTTGTGAGCAAGTTTTCTCTGTAATGAGTATAAATAAAACAAAGCTGCACTCAAGGCTCACACAAGAACTTGAATAACATCCTGAAGTTGGCTGCCACTCAGGATGTGACTTCTGATATTGATGTGCTGGTGAAAGCTAAAAGATGTCAAATATTGTCATGTTGAGCTGTGGGAGTTGGTGGACCAAGTGTGGTGGAGCTGACCAGGAGGCAGGAATGCAGGCACGGATAAAGTAAAAATGGGTTTAATGACAGGATACGGCAGGAACAATTAGAACAACACGACAAACAGCAATGATCTGACAAAGACTGGCACAAGGAGTGAGGTATAAATACACAGGGAAATCAGGAACATATGGGCAGGTTAACGAGGGGCAGGTGAGAACAATAAGGGCTAATCAGGCAGGAGAGGAACACAGTCAGGAAGGCAGGGGCAGATCGTGACAATATACTTGAAGTGCTGCATGAAACTGATGTAGCCATGTGATCTGGAAGCTCTTTGAATCACTAAGGAATGTTTTTTATTTATTTCAAATTTTCAAGTACACTTCAGGTGTTGTACTATTTTGGATACACTGTCCTCAGGCTCCAGCTTTGTTTTATATTGATTTTATTGAAACAAAGAAAAAACAATCTGAAGTTGTTTTTAATTTACCGGTCCGGCCCACTTGGTACTAGATTTCCCTCAATGTGGCCTCTGAGCTAAAATGAGTTTGACAGCCCTGTACTACACCTTTCAATGTCAGCAGAGGTCAGAGTTCTTTTCTCATTATGACCACTATTGTTTCATGGCAGTTTATTTAGTTTCTGTGCAAAAGTTCAGCATCACCATGAAATAATTCACTCCAGGACATCTTACATTTCAGGTGCAAGTTTAGCGACAACTTAAAGTTGAACAATTATCATTAAAACTGAACAAAGTCTCATTCAGAATTCCTCCAATAATCCAGAGAAAATTATACATTAGAGCCATTTGGACAGTAATTCTGTAGTCCCAACATCCCCAATCCCTCCATGTCTGATGAAAAATATAGAGTTTGATCACATATGATTGTTCTGATAGGGGTTGGCCACCAAAACCTCAGACATGTGATTCTAAATTTGAAGCTCTATTATTCATTGCATGATCCATTTGTTCTGTTTGGAATGACAGAGATGTAACAGATGTAGGACCACCTCAGGCCCCAAAAAACCAAATTCAAATGCTTAAAACATGATTATCTCACTGAAACGTTTGATAGAAAACCTGATTGATTTTATTGTAAAAAAAAAAAGAAATAGAAGAAAATTCAAAGTGCAGAAAATTGATGACACAAGACGTGAGCAGTCAGAAATGGAGTGTTTGTTTCTGTTCTTTGTGCTTTTTTTTTTTAAAGAATCAATTCAACACATGATTAAAAATTGATCTTTTTACTAATCATTCATGGCCGAACTGCAGACTTTTTTTCTTTTCGTTAACACTAAAGCTGTTTTAGCAGTTTGCTCTGAGTCTGTGCTGTTTCTGTCTCCTTTGAGAGGCGGGTCTAATTTATCTCCAAAATCAACGGTCCTGTTGTGTTCTGATCAAGACCTCACTTTTGCTTGTGTCTCTTTTCCAGTTTACCAGCACCTTCACACTTACCTCCAAATGGCCAGTTTACACCTTTCTGATGGTGCTAACAACCCCGAGCAGTGAGGCAAGCTTAAACAAGGTCAGGCTATTTTGGTTGAGCTGCTTGACTGAAACGGTATTCAAAGGTGAACGTTTGTTCCACTGAATGGATCTCCTGTGTGTGAATATTTGATTCAGTATGAGAACATGTCCAAAGTCCTACAAGATGTACACAGTTCCTGAAAGCTGTATTTGTTTGAGCCAAATGCAGACAACAGCTCAGCATTGAACGCGTGATCCTAAAAACCCTCCCAGTGAATCAGCTGCTCATCACAACTGTACCCTTGGAGAAAAGTATTTAACTAAAGCAAACAAATCAGGACAAAAGTAAGAAATAACCAAGCCCTTTTCTTGATTTAATCCTGTGGTAGTGAAGCCACTGTACATCGATAAGCTTGTTTTTCTTTCAGGAGGTGCAGTGACCCAGAAGTGCAGTAGATGGTATCTACAGTGAAGATTCCAAGTAGAAAAGGGAATTATTAAGGGCAGGAGGAGGCGCTACAGCCGCCTGCTCAGTTGTACATGAGATGATGAACACTGGGAGGCTTTTAGCTCACTGTTTTTCTCAGAAATCCCCCTCACACAGCGGACAAGTTCGATACTTTGCAAAAGGTTTGGTGCTTTTTCAGGAAAGCCCCACAAGACTTGTCTTTAGGATTCTCAAAGCACTCAGTGTGAGGTTTCTGCATCTGAGCTGTGTCACTTTCCTTTCCTCCTGCATAAACGTCTGGCATGTAAATAAAATCCTGTTAGAGACCATGAACATGGGCTAAGAAACTAAATCAGTTAGCAAGAAAATAAATCTGCAGCGATGCATTAAAACTGCTGTAGAACACGTTTATTAATGAATTTTGTAATACTTAAGTATTACAAAAGTGTTCTTATTGTTACACACACACACACACACACACACACACACGCACACGCGCACACGCACGCACACACACACACACACACACACACACACACACACACACACACACACACACACACACACACACACACACACACACACACACACAGGCTCTGGATGGATCACTGTGCCAGATGAGACATTTGCGTGACGAGTAGCTATCAGGGGGAGGAGTCAGAGACCTGCTGCTTTTCTGTCTGTGTGTTCTTGTCTCCTGTGAAGCATCAGCAGCAGTCTCAGCTTATTACTGTGTGTTGAGCTCCATATATATAGCTTAGAAATTAGATTATCGGTTATCTAAGATTTGACCTGTTGGATTTTCTACCCCTGCAGCACTACTTTGTCTCTTCTTCTCTTCTACTTGCTCTGACTGGGAAATTGATCTGGATAAGGTAATACTTTGGTCATATGTCAGTTCTTATAGACATGAATCTTAATTAGTTAATTTTTTTGTTGTATTTTTGCTCCCATGGCATTTTCAGTCAAAATTAATCTAATGAATTGTCATTTTGGTCACATTTAAGAGCTTAATTTTACTAATAATTGATAATAAATCATAGCATACCTACCCTGACAGTATTTTTGTACACAGCTAGAAGTAAATATTAGTAAATCTTTAGGATTTGTACTTGAGGTAAAGTCTTTTTTTACATGCATTTTTGACATTTGAAAGTTTTTTAATTAAATAAAAACGCTAAATAATAAAAGTTTTTCTAAAAAGATAAATGTAAAGGATTGTTTTCACTTAAAATGCAATCAAATTAATACAGTTTTATTTAATTGATCATATTCTTCTCTGATTGGACTAAAACAAATTTAATAATCTAACTGAATTCCACTGATTTGTAAATAGTGACACATATTTCTAGGTGTTCATTAAACACATCATAACGCGTTAGAGATAAGCCGGGAGGTCAGTCTGACTTACATTAAATCCACAAATGCATTATAAACTTGCCAAATGTTGCTCATCCAAATTTTATGCTGAATTTAAACAGCAGAAAGCATCAAATCCAGCATTTTGGAGACAAAAGCAATAAATAGACTTGATGAAAGACACCTGTGTCGCTGCACAGTTATCGCTGCTTAACGTCAGATCAACACACTGAATTCTCACCGTGCTCCGTGATCATCTTCGCGCCTTCCCACACTTAAAACATGTTTTTAGCAAACAAATAATTAATATCTAGGTGCATGAAGTTTTATAGCTTTGCATAAACCAGTGTTTGAGAAAGAGCAATGCTTAATTCTGATCAGAAGCAGACAGGAAGTGTGTTTACGTACATTGGTCGAGGTAAACGGCATGTGCACTTTTAATTTCATCATATTAACAAAATCACAGCTGAGGCTTTCTGCCCACTTTCATTATCAAACATCTCATGGAACAGTGAGTAAATAGGGATTCGTCAGAGAGAGTCGTACGTTATTTCACAAATGACTCCATCATCAGCTCCATCACACTGAGAGGAGCTCCTCCTCAAACCTATTTTGTGATTAATCTTTTGCCACACAATTATAGAGACTTAAAGCTTCATTAATTGAAATTAAAATGTTCTGACTGCTGTAATATCTTTACTCTGTCTTACTTTAGTATTTTACTATTTACTTAGAAGTATTACTCTGTTTTGTATTATTATTTTGTCTTACTTTATTATTTGCCATTTGTTTAAAATGATTATAAGTTCCTTTGTTATTTAGAAGCTTCCAGCTTAGAGAGAGAGTCCAAACGTTTTGTCTGCAGACAGTTGATGCAAAACAGGGAACAGTGCATCACTAAGCACTGCAAAGGGAGTACAGATAGATAAGACAGGAGGAGAATGTTCTAGCACCTTTCTAAGTTAGAGCAAATGGTCCAAAACCAGTTTGAACTGGACAGAAGAGGTGCAGAGATATGGTCAGAGAGCTTCATGGGACCTGTGTGGTCAGACAGGCTGTTCGCTCCCGCTGTTGGCCTCCAGGTATACCTGTCGGTAACATTATTACCAGTCATGTAGTATTTTTAATATTAGATGATTAAAACTGCCTTAACGTTTGACCTGCCTTGTTTCTTTCTCATCCACAAGAGATAGCTACCATAATCTCCTTTCTTCTTATAAGTAGGGACCCTCATGTTTAATTACTTCCTCCCTCAAACGCACATAAAGAAAAAAAAATCATCAAGTGAACTAACAGACTTTTTTGGGCATTTTGAGTCCAAAAATGCTCAGTGAAGAATGGGAATTTTCAGCTTTAAGCCTTTGAGGAAAAGATCAAGTTTGATCTTGATCCAAAATCAAAACTTTGTGATGGAGATTTGGTGATGAGAGCATCGACCTGAAGCTCAGCGAGACATGAAAGCAAACTGAAAACTTTTGAGGTTCCAATTCTAAAAAACCAGGAAGTGACCGATCAGACAAAAACCAAAACTAAAGTCAGAAACAGCTGAGAGCAGGTGAAGAGTTTACTGGGTCAAAGCCTGACTGAACACAGCAAGGGCTTTTAGCACCTTTTTATTACTTTTGCGCAAACAACACAAAACAATTAGTCACCGTACTCTTGGAGAGGAAGGAGCCTTGAGTAATGCTAACACTACGGCATGGACGTAATCTGGGGGGGGGGGGGGGGGTGTCACTTTAATATATTACTCTATATTAAAGTGACACTGGTTGAGCTCTAGGACCAAGCAGAAAACAACTGTTTGTGTTGAAGCCTGTTTCCTATTAGAACATACTGTCAAGATACCCCCCCCCCCCCCCCCCCCCCCCCCCCCCCCCACACACACACACACATCTACAGTGAAAATTAAGTCCATGCACTACGGTAAAAAAGTACAATTAATGCCAACATGTACTGATGTTTTGCTTTTATGACATTTGCTGTGTTCATCAAAACAGTTTAGTTTAGTCTAAAAACACATCTTTGAGTGCTAAAAATATTCATCTGATGTTGATTTGTGGTTGAGCTCCGTGTCTTCCAACACATTAGCTGAGAGATCGCTTTTCTGCTTGAGATTCAGAAAATAAAAGTGGGAAATCCCAAAGCATACTTATAAAAGTGGCAGATCTCTAGCACATCACTCACACCTCCACTTAAAGGTGCATTATGTAGAACTGAAGTTAAAATGACATCTTGTGGTAAAACGTGGTTACTGCAACAACTCTGGAGCTTTTAGCCGGTTGTCGTCAAATTACAGCTGTTGGCGCTGCAGTATTAGCTCGCAGGAGACACGACACCCTCACACTCGCGGGTGGTGAACAGCAGTTACGTCCCTCCTTCCTTTGTTTTGAACGGAGAAAATCTGACAATCCCCACAGTCAGCTGGATATGAAACATGTTTCAGTATAACCTTCCATCCAAAATGACTGAAACATTAGACTCTTTTGGGATTTTCTCACTCTAAAGTTTTCACTATATTCTTACATACTGCACTTTTAACACAGTGTTGATTTTATGAAATAAAAACTTATTTAAATGGAGCTGCTATGCTGCAGACATCTGACAACTATCATGGTCTAAATCTTCAGTGCTGTTACATAATGCAGCACAGTTTAGTGGGTCAGATGGGATCAGTTACAGCTTTACTCTCACACAAAGAAGAAAAAGCTTGATTTTCAAATCTGAATGTGTGCATTTTCAGAGATGGATGTAGAAAATGGATTCTATCGACATGTAGACGTCCCGGATGAAGTTCACTACATTGTGGCTTTCTTTGTTTTGGTGATTGGAGCAGTGGGAGTTACTGGGAACGCCTTGGTCATGTACGCTTTTTCCTGGTAAGCAATTTTCCTCAAATTCAAATTTTTATTATATTCTTAAACTATTTAAGTAAACAGTCTTTTCTTTGTATTTTATCTTATTAAAATTAAAAAGAAAGAGACTTTCATTGTCCCCTTGGTGGTTAAATCAATAAAACATCCTAAAACTCAAAGAAGCAGCAGTGGCAGTACAGACAATACTTTATAATTTAGTTGGCTTTGGTTTTTACCCCTAATATTGTGGTTAGAAAAGTATCACATCAACTCGGGTTTGCTGGAAACAAGTCAGCAGCATGATACCATGAGATAAGTATAATGAAAGATTAGAGAAGGGTTTTAGAAAAGCCCTTTTTATTAGTGTTACTAAACTCTGAGACAAACAGTGCAACTATCAGTAATTATACAGAGTGATTTTATGCTCGTGTAAAGTTTCTATTTGTGTTTAGCTTTAAGGAAACCAGAGCTTTTCCCTTCCATCAACAGAACTTTAAAGGGCATCTTCCACGTTAAACATGTTGAAGGCCTTATATTGTAACAGGTCTAAACTTCTTTTTATTTATTTACTTTTTTTTTTACTGTGTCCTGTCTGGCTGTGAAGCAAACAGAATTGATGTCTGAATGCTGGTGACAAGCCTTACAGATTTACTCTCAGGTGGAGCATCAAAGCGTCTGCTTTTAATGTCACGCCTGATACTTAAAACTTTATTGTTATTGTTTTTGAATGATTTGTAATTCCGACCAGACACGGAGTCAGAGGTGAAAGCGAAAGGAAAAGACAAAAGTTGGGGGGGGGGGGGGTCCACAAAAATATACAATAATGAACAAAAGTCTGCTTCTAGACCTGCAGAAAAAAACAAGGAAAAAAAAGCAAAAGAACAAAAAAAAAATGGGACACAACAACAATACAACAAGATCAAGCTATCACTGCGTCAACTTGATGAAGAAATATATAATCAACATTGTTTAACTGAACAATCACACGATAATAAATCACGGTGCATTAAGTGCTCACCATAGTCTTAAGACCTGTGTTTAACGTGCCCAAGCCCATACTTTTGGGAGCACCATGTGAGCACCTGTGTGTGCACATGTGCTTGTTTATGTAAGGTTTCTCTATAGGCGCGCCCAATAGAGAGTGTGAGGGACCACAGATCCGCCCCCCAAAGATGCGCAGGAGATGGGGGGGGGGGGGGGGGGGGGGGGAGCTCCAAGTCCCAGAGATCCAGGCGCTGCCCCAGAACACAGGAACCCCAAGGAGACTGCAACCAGAAAGGTCTCCGCCCCCCTCGAGAGGCACAGAGGATCGCCCCGGGGGGCCACAACCATCAGCCGGCAGAGTCCCGGGAGATATCAGCGGCAAGCCCACAGGCCCGCCCGCAGCCTCCCACCCCCTAGCCAGCCGAGCCCGGGACCCAGCGACCTGGGACCCGGGGCGACCACCCCCACCGGGGACCCAGCAGAGCCCAGGGACCCAGACCCCACCAGGCAGCCACCAGGATTGATCAGGCAGACGCCAAAAATCTTAAACCCCCTGACCCGGGAGCCACGAACATTCAGGCAGACCAAGGCACCACACCCCACACCAGGTGTGGCAGGGGGAGGGGGGACAAAGATCTATATCATCAAAAGAAGTTCCAGGAGGGGGGAGGAGTCAAAGACCCCACCTGACATATACAGTCATACACAAACTCAGTCACACACTCCCTCCCTCATGCTCACACATGCCCATACAACACAAGACTGACAAAAATGCACGCCGGACACCCACTCATGCTCCCCTTACACACCCTATTCACTCTGGTGCTGGTACTGCTGCACATTGGGTACAACCATCACCGGTTACCAGAGTTTGACCCTTTCTGCTGGGGTGCTGATGAGCAGGCTCCCCCACCCAACGCTGAGCACAGCAACCCACCACTCCAGACCCCAACCAGATGGCCAGATCTCCCTCCTAGCCTCCGGCCCCAGGAAGCCAAGCAACAACAGAGGTGTGCTAAGACCCCTAGTCTCCCTCCGCCTGCTCCAATATAGTGTTGTGTGATCATGAGGTATATTCCATGGCTGTGGTGAGCGGGCAGTGCGGGCATTGTCTAGCCTATGCCAGCTGATGCCACCGCACCACCCCACTTGCACCCACAGCCCTCGATGTCTAAGTGCGGTTTAAAATTGGAAGTGGGCACCGGCACCCAGGAGGAGGCTGAGAAATCCCCCTGCCAAGTGCCGTTGAATGTGCTCACTCCCAAGGCCCTAAGTGTGTGTTTGCGTGGAATGTCGTCAGTGGAAGTATATATGGTGCAAATAAAATTGGTGGGCAGGTTGGTTGCCACAGGAATGTGGAAATGCCGTCCGTACCTGCACTCCTTGACTTGTCCACCCCCCAAAGCCCTATGTGTATGTTTGTGTGATGATGTGAGGGAGCAGGAGGAGAAAAATATGCGGGGATGGACGCAAGAGATATTGGCTGAGTTCATGTTTGGCTGTAATCTGCCACTCTCTTTGATTTCCCTCACCATTCTGAAAAATATTGGAGCCAGAATGATCCAGAATTCTTTGTAGAACTCTGTTGGAAACCCTTCTGGACCTGGAGCTTTCCTATTAGTCATGTATTTAAGGGCTTCCTGGAGCTCTGCTGATGTTAGTGGCTAGTCTAGGACTGTAACTTGGCTGTCTGATAATTTAGGAAGTGTTATCCTGTCAAGGAACTCATTGATCTCGTTATCTGATGGGTTTATCTGTGGTGAGTACAAAGTTTGGTAAAAGTCTCTGAAAGTGTTGTTTATGCTTTCAGGGTCATAAACTATATTCCCGGTTGAGTCTTTAACAGCAGATATGATAGTTTTCTCTTTATTAATTTTTAACTGGCTACCTAAAAAATTACCTGATTTATTACTATGTTCAAAGTATTCTATTCATAGTCTTTGTGCTAAAAATTGTGTCTTTTTGTCAATAATTCCATGAAGTTCTAATTTAGCTTTACGTAATTTGCTCATTAACTCTTCTTCTGTGGATGCCTCTAAAGACTTAATGATATCTTCTAACTCCTGAATACATTTGTTTTCTGTTTTTTTCCTATGTGATGAGAAAGAGATTATTTTACCTCTCATCACTGCCTTTCCTGCCTCCCAGAGAATAGATGCTGATGTTCCAGGCAGGTCATTATGTTCTAAATATAAAGCCCACTCCTTTTTAAAAAATTCTATAAAACCTTCATCTTTAAGCAGTGATGTATTAAACCTCCAGTTTTTGCTTGGTGGGATTGTCTTCTTATTTACCAGAGTTAAAGAAACCGGAGCATGGTCGCTGACAACTATGGGGTGTATCTCAGTGTCTGAAATGTCATCCAACAATGAGCTGCTGACTAGAAAATAATCCAAACGAGAATGAGAGTGATGGACATGTGAGAAAAAAGTATACTCTCTACGGTTAGGATGAAGAGATCGCCATGCATCACAAAGCCCATAATCACTCATGTACAGTTTAACTATATTAGTGGATTGCCAATTGCGCTGAGTCCCAGCTGTACTGAGCCTGTCTGTTGAAGAATTCATCCAAAAATTAAAATCGCCTCCAAGTATAAGTGGACAGTCTAAGTGTTCAGAGAGTACAGAGAAAAAATTATGAAAGAATGAAGGGTCATCAATATTTGTACAGTATATGCTGACAATACATAAGCTTTGGTTCTGTACAGATAGTTTTAACATTATAAATCTACCCTCTGAATCAGAGATTGTGCCCAATACTGTGAAATTGATGTTTTTCTGTGTATTATAAAAGCTACGCCTCTTTGCCTAGAGTTATAACAGGCAGAGAACATGCTGGGAAACTCAGGTGTTTTAAGTTCATCAGCGGATGTGGCAGATCTATCATTCATGAACTCCAGCTGCATTCTGCACACGGCCACAGTAACATTTTCTAAGTTTCTAAGTGGCGTCACCAAAAAAATATATAATTAACACACAGTCATTCGTGTCCGTTCATTTTCTCTCTGGTAAGTTCTGTCTGTATTTGAGCATGAAATGTGGACGCGCTCGCGCTGCAGTGCTCGTCACTGGCGCAGCCATGCAGCGCAGCACAGCACACTCCACCTTTCTTGTGGTCAGTCGATCAATTTGATCTGCTAGTTAAAAAGTTACTTGTGAGGTGAAAAGATGGGAGCAGACAGGAGTTTTTCTGGAGGACTGGGAGATGCAGGAAGATCAGAGACAGACAGAACAGGAAGATAGGAAAATAAAAACCAAGAAAACAAAACAAAGTTCTTAAAAAAATGTAGGTAGATTTATCTCACTACACGTTTGTACCTGTATAAAGCAATAATTTATCAGCATGTAGTATTTATATAGTTGATACAATTCAGATCATCTTCAAAACTCCGTCCCATGCCCAGGGACGTATCTAAGCCTTTTGGGGGCCGAGGCTAAATAGACCCCTGCCAGGTATTTTAAGTTGAAGTGCCATCTGTTTTTATATTAGACTTTTTATATCTGCAATAAAGTCCAAAAGTGGAGAATTTATGTTATTTTTTACTTGATTGTTCAAGCTACCTCACAGAAGTGATCTGTTGTTAAAAATTAAAATAAAAAGGTAATGAAATAAAAAATAAGGAACATTCTGGAACTGTTTCTTCCTTTTTTTTATGTATCGAAAGTATCGGATTGGGGGACTCGGTATCGGCAGATTCTTAAAATTAAATGACTCTATAGCAGCCATCGCCATAGCTTGTTTTCTTAAAGTGACAGAGTTCTGAAATTGCTCATTCTGGAAGGTTCTGAAAATGTCAAGAATAAAAATGCTAAAATTGCTTTATATGAGAAACATTTACATTTGCAAAAGAACTTCATAAACACATTTTGTATAGGTAGAAATATCACTTTTAAAAACAATCAAAATAGATCTTCTTCAGAGCTGTTATAGCGAATCTACAGGGCAAGCTAGGTTTTAAATGCAAACACGGTAATGGTTAGCCCTACTCTTGTGTGTCTTCCCAAACATCTTTTGTTGTCTGTGACTTCAAATAGTGTTTTTCATTTTGGGACTCTGGTAGTTTGTCCTAAAGTTGAAGTGGTGGCAGCCAGCTGTTTCTCCTTCTCTGACATTACTGAGCTGCAAACTTCTCACACCAGTTGTGCTCTGTTGCAAAATACGTGAGTGCATAATGAATGGAGGACCCAGAGAAGTGCAGCAGTTCAGGGAGACCGAGAACCAGATGGTCCAATATTTGCTTGTGGTCCAAGCTGTGTCATTGACTGAGGTTTTTAACCCTCCCACTGTCTTTATGGGTGACCCTGCGAGGAAAGTTGACCATTGAGCAGGATTGATGGTTTATCCCTTGAGGTCTACATGGCAGGGGTGAGGTGGTGTTCACTCCTCACCCCTGCCACATGGACCCAAGGGATTAACCATCAACTCTGCTCAATGTTCAACTTTCCTCGTGGGGTCACACTCATTAGGACAGTGGGAGGGTTAAACAATTGTGAGAGAACCAGCTGTTTCTCCTTCTCTGACATTACTGAGCTGCAAACTTCTCACACCAGTTGTGTTCTGTTGCAAAATATGTGAGTGCATAATGAATGGAGGACCCAGAGAAATGCAGCAGTTCAGGGAGACCAAGGGATTAACCATCAACCCTGCTCAATGGTCAACTTTCCTCGTGGGGTCACACACATTAGAACAGTGGGAGGGTTAAACAAATGTGAGAGAACCGCTTCATTATTTATTTTGTTTAATTTCCATAATATATTCATAGCTATACTATGCTAGAATGTTGTTTAGAGGCATTAAAAAATGTTTTAGGCTAATTTGTTTTCCAAATTCGCTATAGCAGCCTTAAAGGCACTGTTTGTATTATTATTTTCTTATGTGTCTCTTAAACAGAGCAGCTGGCCCCAGCCTGGCCCTCCCTCGAAGTTTGGTCTAAAACCACCACTGGTTATAAATAGATTGATGGAAAATAATTTGAATGTTTTTTAATTCACTTAAGTGCGGAAAATGCTGGTATTTTATCAGTTTTGATCAAAATTGGACAAAAGAAAATACAAATAATATGTTTTCTTTGTTATTTTGTAGCAAACTAAACTTTTTTTTTATCAGGTCGTTAACCGTAGCTAGAAACAAGCAGCGCCTGTTGCCATGACCCAACTTAGTTTGGATCTGTTCCAAATGCCATCCTCATCCTCCCGTACTTGGTAGAATGGCATTTCTAGTGTCCTTGACAAGAATACACTGGTCTAAGTACATAAGAACATACTAGCGTCCTTGAGTATTGAGAAACGGCCAATGTCTCAATTAGTAGAAGCTAACCGCTAGCATTAGCAACTCCACAATGCAGCAGAACTCTTCCAAGCTTGTGTTATTTGTGGAGAAAAAACATCAATGTTGCAAAAATTCAGAGTCAGTGGTCGAGTCATGTTGCTTAGCCAATCACAGGTGAGATGTCCAAATATCAGGAAATGAGACTCCAAATCCTGCCATCTGAAGCTACTTTCTCTTCTGGCTTATTTCTACATGCTCAAACAGGCATACCGGAGCTTTTTTCCCAGAGAAGGATTTAAAAGGCATTAATTTTTACTACAGACCACTGCAAATTTATTTAAAATATGATTGAAGTTGACCTTTAATAGAATCAAGCATCTACAACATTTTAGGGCACAAGGGATGTATTCCAAAAAGGCAAGCAGTGATGTATATTTTTGGGCCTCTCTCTCTCTCTCTCTCTCTCTCTCTCTCTCTCTCTCTCTCTCTCTCTCTCTCTCTCTCTCTCTCTCTCTCTCTCTCTCTCTCTCTCTCTCTCTCTCTCTCTCTGTGTGTGTGTTTGTTAAAGTATCACATGATCCATATGGTGCATTTTAATGAAATGCTGAGAAAATCTTAACTACAATGTAAACTATTCTTTAGAGTCAGTCCATGTTAAGTTTGTCACCAACAGCTGATCAACCTTAGCAACCACAAAAATGGCCACCACTCTGTCAGCTGTACACATACCTAACATTGCAGCCATAAACATATAGGGATTATTTTCAAAGATTTTTTGTATGTTTTTATTTTTGTCTTACTTTTTAATAAAATAAACTGTATACATTTTTTTCAATGAAATGCATTTAGCTTAGTGTGGTAAACAGGGTTGTCTAGTTATGGTTATGCTGGCTATTAGGCCTACAGTAAGAACCAAAACCCTTACCCTGACGTGCACTTTGCATTAGTTCATGCTTCTATTGATGCACAATTATATCAAATGACTTATCACTCAATCTCATCTCATGTCACACGTGTTCCATATACACAAACACTGTGACCTATTGGCCTGCACAGTGTTTATTCATATTGATGTTTACACAGTAAGCAGCAGGAGAACACCCAGTGCAGCACCAATACTGAGAAGAGGAAGCTGTTATTAAGAACTTTTTATAAACACAAGGAGCAACGAATTGTAGAAAAACACCACATTTGTGAAGATCTGAGAACATCTTATTTCGCTGTAGTAATTTAAATTCAGATTCATATAAAAAATATGCCAAATTGAAAAATCTCATAAGCTGGATGAAAAACTGGCATCTTGTTGACGGATCGTTCATGCTGTGTGAGCTAATTTCATTTGGCAAATCAATTTGATGTTTATCTTCTGCAGCTGCATATCTTTTCTTGAAGGAGCAGAATTAGAATAAACATTCGGAACAAGCTTAAAAACAAATTAAAATGTAATATAAAAGGTTACAGAGCATTCAATTAATCAAACCCATTATTTTCGCAGACTGATGTTTGAAATATTTATCCAGAGTCTCCGAATGATAGATTTTATGTGAAAAAAACTATGCTTTTGCCTCAAAAACCACAGAAGATAGGAGTCATGTGGAACTATTGTGGATTATTTTCACTAGTATAGGTATTTGTCATGATGCATCATTGTTTCAGAGTCTTTTATAGTTTGATTAATAAATTGACTTTAATGAGCCACAATGGTTTATCTGATCAGTGGAGCCTTACAACAATAAAACTACAGTCTCATTATAACCCTCCCACTGTCTTTATGGGTGACCCCACGAGGAAAGTTGATCATTGAGCAGGGTTGATGGTTTATCCCTTGGGTCCATGTGGCGGAGGTGAGGAGTGAGCACCACCTCACCCCTGCCACGTGGACCTCAAGGGATAAACCATCAATCCTGCTCAATGGTCAACTTTCCTTGTGGGGTCACCCATAAAGACAGTGAAACTTAGATGACCTTCATTTAAAAGTGACACTTTTTTTTACATGCATCTTGTATTTCTATTGCTGTACATTTCATAATTTCATATATGAACTTTAACATGAACTTACTGTAGGTTTTGTTCAGCAAAACCCCCTTCATTTCTTTTTTACACCAATTTACAGAAGTGTGGACTCAAGTCACATGACTTGGACTCGAGTCAGACTTGCTTCATTATTTTTAATGACTTCTGACTTGACTTGATAAAATCTATAAAGACTTACGACTTGACTCAGACTTGAACGCCAATGACTTGCGACTTGAATCGACTTGCATCTGTTGACTTGACAATGACTTGAGCATATTTGATATTTTAGCACAAAAATGGAAGACATGGACAGAAATCATAAATCATTCTTTGTTCTGGGTTTGATCTTGTTCTGCAAAATGCAGCAACACTTTGTTTATGATCAGCTTCAGTTGCACTTTCTGCTTGTTGGAGCAAATAAATGAAGCTTTAAGAAGCTTTATTTCTGGAATTTATCATCATTGTCATTAAATTGAAAGTTGGACTTGTACTTGACTTGGACTTCCACATCATTGACTTTGGTCTCGACTTGGACTTGGTTATCTTTGAGTTGGACTTGACTTGAGACTTGACTGGAAAGTCTGGTGACTTATGACTTGCAAAGCAGTGACTTGGTCACACCTCTGCCAATTTATTTAGTGTGTGTGTTTTGTTTAAGAGCAAATGACATGTGTTTTAAGCACAGCTGACCCGAGGTCATCAATGTGTTTCAGCAACAAGAAACTTCGAACACCTCCCAACTTCTTCATCATGAACTTGGCGGTCAGTGACTTCCTCATGGCAATAACCCAGTCTCCCATCTTCTTTGTTAACTCACTTTACAAGGGCTGGATTTTTGGGGAAACAGGTATATTTTTTTCTTTTAGTTGTTTGTTCTGAGAACTCTCTCAATGAAGCAGGAATAATTTGGATGAAGGAAAGTTGTTGGCATACCAATAAAAGAAGGTACATTAGGTGGCAGCATCTTGTGTCTGAGATGTCAGAATTTGTCCCTTTAGCTATAAATTACACTATTATGTATGCTCCTTTGTTTTTCCCATCCTGTCAACATGATTTATAGTGTTTTCTTCTTTGTTTACCTCTCACAGGGTGTAAAATCTATGCTTTCTGTGGAGCTTTATTTGGAATCACCTCAATGATAAACCTTCTGGCCATCTCCATAGACCGTTACATAGTTATCACCAAACCTCTGCGGTCTATTGGGTGGACCTCAGTGAGACGCACCTGCCTGATCATCGTCCTGGTCTGGCTTTATTCACTAGCCTGGAGCCTTGCACCACTTTTAGGGTGGAGTAAGTAGCCTAAACAATCCATCCAGACTCTCCCAGACCACCAGTGCATTTCTCACAATTTTACACTTCTCTCCAAAAGGTTCATACATTCCAGAAGGCCTGATGACCTCATGCACGTGGGACTATGTAACATCTACTCCAGCCAATAAGAGCTACACGTTGATGTTGTGCTGTTTTGTTTTCTTCATCCCCCTGGGCATCATATCCTACTGTTATTTGTGCATGTTCCTGGCCATTCGCCACGCCACCAGGTAAAAGATACCCCACTGCTAGAAAAATTTTAAAATGAGGTTAGGGTGTTTTAATTATCATTACTGATGATAATCGGTCACTCTGAGTTTTTCATGCAGACCGAACATTAAAATAGTCTCCTACACCTATCTTCTGCATACTCACTCACTCTCGCTGGCTTGGTGGGCAGGATGATGCAACGGAGTGGAACAAGATGGCGACAGCTCGTTTGAATGGCTTTTACATCAATTTTGGGCTATTTGGACTCAGGCTTTATCACAATCAGTAACAGACAGATGTATTTTAGTCCTATATTTGATATATTTTTTACTTCTTTAACAGCGAACTGCCTCGTTGACTGACATTTGTTGTCATCTTTTTCATGTCTGCCCTATGGTGCTGGTGCACACCTTGTGGTGTATATATATATATATATATATATATATATATATATGTGTGTATATATATATATAAGAAATCTCAATAAAAAAACTTGCTACGCCGCTTATGGCAGCATTTTCTCCTTCAGGATATATAGCAGTACATTATTGAGTTCATACCATCAATGAAATGCAGCTCCCCAACACCAACAACACTCATGCAGCCCCACATAAGGACAGAACCACCACCATGTTTCACTGTAGGCACCATGCATTTCTCTTTGACCTTTATGACACCATACAGTTTTGAAACCATTAGTTCCAAAAGCAGTGATCTTTGTCTCTTATATATATATGGAGGTGCCCCCCTTTACTTAGAGGCGCTCCTGAAACAATATGTCCCATCACACAGTCTGCGCTCCTCTAATCAGGTCCTGCTAGTTGTCCCTCGTACTAGGCGTTGGACTCGTGTAGACTGGGCATTTTAATTTCTAGCGCCGTCATTCTGGAACCAGCTCTTTGCTTCTTTCCCAGTCTTTAAGAGTCACCTGAAAACCCAGTTTTTCTTGTAGCATTTCCTGAACAGGCTTGAATTTGGCTTACTGTTATGTAGTTTTGATTTTTTGCTTTTTATTCTGTTGATCCATGTTCAATGTTTTAATTTCTTAAATCATGATTGTTGTTTGTTCTTCAGTGCCTTGGCCTCCTGTAATGGGTGAGGAAGGTGCTATATAAACAAAGACTTGATATCTATCTATCTATCTATCTATCTATCTATCTATCTATCTATCTATCTATCTCTATCTCTATCTCTATCTCTATCTCTATCTCTATCTCTATCTATCTCTATCTATCTCTATCTATCTCTATCTATCTATCTATCTATATATCTATCTATCTATATATATATCTATATATCTATATATATATCTATATATCTATATATATATCTATATATCTATATATAGATATATATATATATATATATATATATATATATATATACACACACACACACACACACACACACTAAGACATTTATTTATTTCCGCTCTGTGTATTAACTTTTTGTTTCACTACAAATGTTTGCATGATTAGAAATGAATGTAATTCTATTGGTATTTTCTATTGATTTTAGTTCTAATGGCTGTTAGAAACTGGAAAGGTTATTTACTTTTTAAAAAGTAGTGAAATTACATGTACATGTTAATTTCTGTCAGTAGTTCAACTTAAAAGGTGAAACTAATATATAAGAATGATTCATTACATGTAAAGCCAGATATTTCAAGACATTATTTGTTATAATTGTGATGATTACAGCCGATGAAAACACCACATTCAAAATCTCAGACAATTAGAATATTATGAAAAGGTTCAATATTTGAGACTCAAAGTGTCACACTCTGATCAGCTACTGAATCCAGAACACCTGCAAAGGGTTCCTAAGACTTTAGATGGTCTCAAGATGGTGGACTTTTGCACCACATTCAAATTTTATGTTTTACTTCACCTGTATTCTGTTGCATCATGTATTCACTTTACAACTTGTTTTTCATTGTTTGAAGGGTTGTCTGCAAATCCAGTTCAGAAAAACGTAACAAAAATCAGGCATTCTGACATTCAAATTACTCCAGATATGTTTTAAAACTGAGAATTTCTGCTGCTTTTGCACCTCCCATCTGTGCAAGCATTTGATAAGATAAACTGAGATTTTTAAAAGCACTCTCCAGAGTGGATATTTTTTTAAATCCCGTTTTTAGTCCTTTAACCCTTTAATAGGGTTTGTTGAATTTTTCTGAAACAAACATAGCACAGGATAGTGATCATATCTCAGAGAAAGCTGTATTTGAAATTTAAAAAAAGATGCAAGTTATCAAAGAATCTGTAGCAAGCCTTGATCATTCAGACTGAGGTCACTTTGAAAACCATTAAATATGCAGATATGAAAATGACCAGAGTCTGATGTGAAAACATGGATTAGTGGTGTTCAGATATGGGTCATAAAAGAACAGAAAGTATCAGAGTTTTTTTGTGTTTTTGCTGATTCATGATCACATTTCATACATCCAGATTTCTTTACTTACGGTCTTAGCTTTCTCTAAGTTGGGTTTTCTGCAGCATCTGTCTTTCCTTTCTTCTCTCCATTCCAAACAGAGATGTGGACCAGTTGGGCTCTCAGGTGAGGAAGTCCACCTTGATCCAGCAGCAGTCCATCCGGACTGAATGGAAGCTGGCAAAGATCGCCTTTGTAGTCATCATCGTGTTTGTACTTTCGTGGTCACCTTATGCATGTGTCACCCTCATCGCCTGGGCTGGGTAAATTTTTTTTAAATAATCAGGTATTCTTATTCATTAATAATGAGCCACCTCTGTTCCTAATACAATGCCATTCAGTACATTGTGCATATGCAAAAGACTTTGTCCTCCAACTCTTGACATCGGTCAACACATTTTACTTTTCAGATATGCAAGCATCCTTAATCCATATTCCAAAGCCGTTCCTGCTATTATAGCAAAGGCATCAGCCATCTACAACCCCTTCATCTACGCCATCATTCACTCCAAATACAGGTGTGTGCAGTCGTCTAATCGACATTTAGAAAGAATTTGAAGAAAGAAAAAATAAAGCATTTTGGTAAAAAAAATATGTAACATTCTAACAGAGACACCCTGGCAGAAACGGTTCCTTGTCTACACTTCCTGTCCCACAACCCCAGGAGGGACTGCGTGTCAGTGTCACTCAGCAAGTCCTCCATCAGGGAGTCAGAGCTCAGCAGGCAGTCATCCGTCTCCAAAACACAATTTCACAGAGTTTCCTCCATGTCTACAACAGACACTGTGAGTAGGAACTCAAATGTCCAAACGCTTAGATTATTTTTAGGATTCAAGTCCCAGAGAAATAATCAGTTTTGGGTTTGATGGTTATGTCCGTGTACAAGCAGAAAATCTATTTCAACTATTTTTCATTTAAATTTTCTTATAATATTATTATGGCTGTGATGTCAAGTTGAGTTAAACAAACGCTTATGCTAACCTTTACCTAAATTATCCTTTCCAGCAGGTTTGCAGTGATGTAGAACTGGATCCTATTGATCAAAGCCATTGTCTAAAGCTGAGTTCCTCCAGTGGAGCTCTAAAGCAAAAAGAGAACAATTCATTTATGGAACAGATGGAGGAAAAGGGAAGTCAAAGTGAGGAATGGGTTAGGTAGGTGTTCATTCTTTTATTTACTCACTTTAAATACACATGAACCTGAACTTGAACATTTTGAAATAATACATTAACTTAGGGGTGTGCATTTGCATTGGCAAAAGGTAGGTGATACAATATATTTCATAATACGGGGTAGGCGATGAGATATATATCATAATACAAGGTTAGCGATACGATATGTATCATAACACAAGGTAGGCGATTGGATATATATCATAATACGGGTAGGCGATAAGACATATATCATAATAAAAGGTTGGCGACACGATATATATCATAATACAGGGTAGGCAATACGATATATATCATATTACAGGGTAGGCGATATGATATATTTCATAATACGGGGTAGGCAATACGATATATATCATATTACAGGGTAGGCGATACGATATATTTCATAATACGGGGTAAGCAATACAATATATATCATATTACAGGGTAGGCGATACGATATATAATTCATAATATGGGGTAAGCAATACGATATATATCATATTACAGGGTAGGCGACACGATATATATCATATTACAGGGTAGACGATATGATATATTTCATAATACGGGGTAGGCAATACGATATATATCATATTACAGGGTAGGCGATACGATATATAATTCATAATATGGGGTAAGCAATACGATATATATCATATTACAGGGTAGGCGACACGATATATATCATAATACGGGGTAGACGATACGATATATATCATAATACAAGGTAGGCGGCAGGGCTGGACAATATAGAAAAAAGGCAAATCGATACAAAAAATTCATATTGATCGATATCAATAAATATTGAAAAATACATTCTAGAAAATGTATTTCAAGGTCAGCCTTGGCCATTTTATGCTATTCCTTAACTACTTTCAATAAAAAAACACACAAAGACAGAATCCAATTCAATATTTTATTTAAACATCTTTATTTTACTAAAACCAAACGAGTTCAAGAAATTATTGAATTCCGATCATTTTTCTGGCAGAGATTGTGATTTCAGTTTGAATAATTATTTTCTTCAAATCACGGTTCAGCTCCTATAACAATTTTAGCAAACGGCTGTTTTTTGTTGGACTTGTGAAAACCAGAATATTCTTTTGAGAGAATTTCCTCCGCCTCTCCTGGCTGCGACATCTTGTTTAAGTTATGAGCTGTCTGTTTAGGTTTGACGGGGAGGGCTTGGTGACAGAGCGTGCCTGGATCTTTGTTGATTGGTTGGGAGTAAGTAATGAGTCTAATATTAAGCTACCTGATAGGCTATGATGATAAAGGCAAAGAAAACTTTTTATCAAAGTTATTATTGACCCATTTTTAATCACACCACAATGTAGATCGATAGATAAAAAATCATTATTGAATTACAGTCCAGCCCTAGGCAATACGATATATATATACCGTATTTTCCAGACTATAAGCCGCTACTTTTTTCCGCATGCTTTGAACCATGCAGCTTATAATGAGGTGCGGCTTTAGTGAAGACTTTCCTTCACCTGCCAGGGGGCGCTTTAGCAGAAAGTGAAACAGGTGGAAGTCAAAAGTGGAAATCGAAGAAAGTGCTCATTTTAATTTTGCACATGCAAGCAGCCGGCACGACGAAGAATTATTTTCAAGTCCATACCCCCCTCATCATGGTAACTACACGTATGAGTTCATTTGTTGCCTCATTTAAGTTGAAGGCCGTCGATCTGGCAGTAAAGGAGGGAAACAGTGCTGCCGCACGTAAGCTTGGCATGAATGAATCCACGGTTCGGCGCTGGAGACGGCAGCGGGAAGAACTCATTCAAGCACGGACAGTGACACTGACATCGCCACAGAAAAGGTATGTGATGAAGCTCTTCTGAGGCTGTTCAACTCCGACACAGAAGATGAGGACTTTAACGGCTTTAGTGCGCAAGAGGAAGATGAGAGCGAATGACTTTTTCTGGTAGGCAAGTGTGTTTTATTTACTAACCAGGCATGTTTTGTGTGCAGTTTTTATTTTCTAATCATCCAGGGCTTATTAATGCTGTGTCAGCACTGTTCTTTTCTTCTAAACATGCATGCAAATTACCGGTAATAACGTGTCAGTTCAGTGCTGTTTTCTTTTCTAAGCTTGCAGGCATGTTCACCCGTGTTTAAAATTCGTTTTGTTGAATTAAAACAACAAGGAAAAACCTCCGTGTAGCGTCTTTCTGTCTAATTATCTTATGTTATGGCCATACATGCGCCGTGCGCCGGAGACCTGCATGTGGCTGCTGCGCCGCGGCTTGTATTTGGTGTGGCTTGTGTGTGTAGAAAACCTTTTTTTTTTGCTGGTGCGGCTTATAATGAGGTGCACTCTATAGTCCGGAAATTACGGTATATATATATATATATATATATATATATATATATATATATATATATATATATATATATATATATATATATTTCATAATACAGGGAAGACGAGATGACATATATCTCATATTTAGAACAGCACTGGTGTGAGAGGTTCTTTGCTCAATAATATCAGAAAAGGAGAGACAGCTGGCTGCTACCACTTCAACTACACAACAAACTACCAGATTCCCAAAAAGAAATACAGAATTTGAAGTTATGGACAACAAAGGCTTTTGGACCTAGAAAACAGCAACTGGTGTTTAGCGCTCTCTTGTTTCCTCTGGCAATGTGGGTTTCTGGTTCCGGTGGACGCAGGACCAGGGAAGATACCCGAGGGGAGGGGTGTGTGGTCTGTGACTGTGTTTGCGTTCAAAACATAGCTTGTTTGCAGGTACTATATAACAGCTTTAAATATCAATTTAGAATTATGACATAAACTATTTCAGCGTATTGATATTTTCTTACATCCCTCAATAAACTATGTAATGTCTTATCAGACTCATATCTATTACAATCTAATGGTCTTCATGTTACTATAGTTTGTCAACAGAGTGATGTCCTTCGTCTGGAAGAGGTAGAATGAAGAGAAGCTGGAAGATGAAGATGTAATGAAAGCACTGCAAGTATAGAAGGAAAAATGTAAGAATGAGTCACAGAAACATGAGATAACATCTATCCTAGAGTGGTCAGACCCAGTTCATATGACCAGTGAGAATGATTCACACAGGAAAACTAATGATTTGTTTACAGCCCCTTGACTACTCATGATCAACAAAACATTGAGACAAAAGTTGCTTTTTGCAACATAAATTTGGTAAATCTTAAAGGTGTGGGAAACTCAATACAGGTGCTGGTCATAAACTTAGAAAACCAAGAAAACGTTGATTTATTTCAATAGTTCCACTCAAAAAAGTGAAACTTGCATATTAGATTAATTAATTACACACAGACTGATATGTTTAAGTGTTTATTTAGTTAATTTTGATGATTATAACTGACAACTAATGGAAATACCAAATTCAGTATCTCAAAATATTAGAATTAACCCTTTGATGCATGAATTATGAAATCTTCAACCATGATTTTTTTAACAATTTTTTTCATTCATCTTTAGGTGTGAATGAAACAAATTTCATATTTTCATATTTTTTGTAAAATGTAATTTACAAATAATTTATTACATGTCCACCTCAGTGGACAGCGTGCAATCTGAACATGAAATATGTTGGCTTGACTTACTGAAGTACAAATGGAGGGGTTCACATGCAATAAAGTCTTCAACAGCTGTGCTTAATAGCAAAAATAAATAAATAACAATTTTAAGTACCTGTCCACTGTAGTGACCATTATGCATCAAAGGGTTAAGACTAATGCAAAAAAGCGCAAGAAACAAAAAGTCATTGTTAAAGAGGCTGGCTGTTCATAGAGCTCAATAATAGCACATTAATAGAGGGAAGGACATTATGTTGTAGAAAAAAAGTGTACAAGCAATAGGGATAACTGCCCCCTGGAGAGGACTGTGAAACAAAACCTGTTGAAAAATATGGGGGAGATTCACAAAGAGTGGACTGCAGCTGGAGTCGGTGCTTCAAGAACCACCATGCAGAGACGAATGCAAGACAGGTTTCAGCTGTCGCATTCCTTGTTTCAAGCCACTCTTGAACAAGAGACAATGCCAGAAGTGTCTCGCCTGGGCTAAAGACAACAAGGACTGGACTTCTGCTGACTGGTCCGAAGTTATGTTCTCTGATGAAAGTAAATGTTGCATTTCCTTTGGAAATCAAGGTCCCAGAGTCAGGAAGAAGAGAGGAGAGGCACAGAATCCACGTTGTTTGAGGTCTAATCTAAGGTTTCCACAGTTAGGGAGAGTTTGGTGTGTCATGTCATCTGCTGGTGTTGGTCTATTGTGTTTCTGAGGTCCAAGGTCAACACAGACGTCTACCAGGAAGTTTTAGAGCACTGTGCTTTTTGTTGTTGACCAACTTTATGGAGATGCAGATTTCATTTTTCAACAGGACTTGACACGTACTTTTCAGTTGGCCAACATTTCTAAAAATCTTTTTTTGCATTGGTCCTAATTGATATTCTAATTTTCTGAGATGCTGAATTTTGGACTTTCATTAAATGTCAGTTAAACCAATGAAATAAACTAAATAAACATTTCAAATATATCAGTCTGTGTGTAAAAAAAGAATCCAATATACAAGTCTCACTTTTTGAATGGAATTCAGGGTTTCCCTCAGAAAACTTGATAAGCCTGGTGGGCCGGACCATGAGAGCGGGGGGGTGGGGGTGGGGGTGGGGGGTGGGGGGTGGGGGGTCTTTTGGCTCAGCTCACCAAAAGAGCCGGCTCTTTCGGCTCCCAAGTGGCTCCTCATATTTTCTGTTGCTCAGAGTACATTTATAACCAAAATAATGCAAAACTATATGTAAAATGATTTACTAATATAAACAAATGCAATATATCAAATATTTATCATTTCTATGGATTTAATAACTGAACTCATAAGAAATCTCGACTTTCCGACTGCTGGCGCTCATTTTCTCACTGTCTTCGTCGCACTCTCCTCCCTCTCGCTCGCCTTTTTCCTCCTCCTCATTCCCTCTCGTCTCCCTCCACCCGCATGTGCTCTGCTGTGTGTCTGAGTCTGATCCTCCCTCTTCTCCGTCCCTACTGCTCTGTGTGTGGACAGTCTGGACACGCAGTTAAACATGTTGACCAATCGCCTGTAGCTTTCACCAAGGCAAGGGGGGAGGGTAAGGGACGGCTCCCAATGACGAGCCGGCTCCCGTCGTTCACTTCAAAGAGCCGGCTCTTAAAGCCGGTTCGTTCGCGACCGACACATCACTACGGTGCACTACCGCTTCTTGTCAGTATCAGCGGAGGGGAGGCCCGCGGTTCGTAGCGCTGCCGTGCGTCGGCCGTGTCAGCAGAGAAGGTAGGGAGGAGGGTTTGACCACGCTTAGCCTGGCGGGTGACCAAGTAAAGCTTGGTGGCCTGCCAGATTTATAAAGCACTGGGGGAGACACAGGAATTACTGAAATAAATCAACTTTGTTGTGATATTTCATTCAAATTTTTTGACCAGCACTTGTACATTTGAAGTGGTCTCTGGTAGGAAAGAATGCTTTGCAAGCCGTACTCAGGGCAAAAAATGCCCCAAAACATCATTGATTAGCAAGAACAAGTGGCAGCAGGATTTGGAGTCATTTCCTGATTTGTGAACATCTTGCCTCAAACTGGATAAAGGCAACGTGACTACTAACTCTGCTCAGCCATATATTTTTTCTCTCCACAAATAACCAGCCTGGAGAAGCTTCTGCTGTGTGATTGAGTTGATAATGCTAACAGTTAGCTTCTGCTAGCCGAGACATTTTCTGCTGTTTTCTGGGCGCTAAAACAACAACAACCTTCCCCGTTGTGAGTCAAGCTGGGTTAGTCCATGATTGTTAAGTGGCAGTGTGACGTAGATCTGTCAGGCTTTTCAAATCCTACTAGAGACCACTGCAAATTGCTTTGATTATACTAGTGTTTGACACTTTTCAATACTGTTTTACATATCTGTGTGTGTACTTTTTATGAAGACATAAATTAATAATGAGCTATTCAAACTAATCAGTGAGAGAAATAATATTTTTGAAATGAAAAAGTGTGAATAACTTAACATTCACCCTTGTTTGTTTAAATAATACAAATTAAAAACCAAGGATCATCTGTATATTAGGAATAATTCATGCAATCTTTAGATATATTATATATTTATTGTGAACAAAGCAAAGAGTTGACTTGAGGGGTTGAAAATGGGGGAGTGGGTGTTTAATGTTTAATTTATAGCTAAAATCTAAGCGTTATTTGCATGCAGCAGTTCCGTGTGTATCTACACTTTACAGAGCATTGGATCAATATTTTGAGATTTGCTATGTACTGCAGCACAACTTTAGGCACTAATGTGTTCCCGTACAATAACCAAACAGAGGTGATGAAGCAAGTAACACTTTTTAGATGGTCAAAATATTTTTGTGAGGATTTTCACTTTTTAAATATTTGGTAGTAATTTGATAGAAAGTGTGCGTGAAATGTTTTTCAGCTACCAACTTCTTCACTTCACAGGTACTCGACATGTTGACATATCTGTTATGATATTTATTAATATCAGAACTATTTATTCTAACTTTCAGTGTTTCAATGTTCTCAGGAACAAAACAGGCACAGCAGCAACTGCTGATATTTATGCATTTTTTTCATTATTTATGTATTTGCTGTGAAAATAAAGTTTAATCATTTATTAGAAAAGATTTTGCATCTGCTTGATTCTTTTATTGTTACTTTGTTAAATGTTTTTCAGATGTACTGCATTTCATTTTTAAAACATGTTTCTTTAATTATTTAGAGATACATGGTTTTATCACACATTTAAAAATAGACTTTTAGACTTAAAAGTACTTTTGTCAGCTCATCTTTAAATGCAGATGAGCTGAAAAACACTATTCCATAAATCTAAATGGACAGTTGCCGAAGCAAAATATATATTGTAGGAATACAAGAAAATATCGATAAGGCAATATATCGTGATCTTTTTTTCCAGCAATATTATATCAATATTCAAAAGCTGCGTATCTATTTTTGGAAGAATTTACATGCAAACATTTGTGTATTTTCTTTTCTTTTGGTGCAAAATGCTGACCGCTAGTTGGCAGCCGTGTGCATTGAGTTTTGTTTCCACCATTGAAATGTAAATCCCTCTGTTATGGTTCAGATACCTCATGTTAAGCATGCTAAGTTTCAGTCTGGACTGTTTATTAAATATTTCTACAATAAATTTGGTAAAAAAAATGCCAATAACGTCTGACTGAATGTATTGCAATGTATCGTGATATATTGTATCGTCTTCCCTGCATCGTGATACGTATCGTATTGCCAAAATTTCACCAATATAGGGTGGGTTTGCCATGATATAAAAATACATATTTAAAGGGACTTTTCGGACTTTTGAATTTTTATGCTCGTGATTGCCCCCTCAGGCCAAAAGCGTAACTGCAGCTTCAATAGTAGGCTCGTGCACGAGGCGCGCATGCTGTATGTGCACACTCCTGAACAAAAACAACAGCTGAGTCAGTCCCGTAATGGTGTAATTTACAGGTTTGCCGGCATGACTTTGACAGAGGTAATAAATGTAATATAATATATTTAGACCAAATCAATTTGGACTGCATATTTTCCAAGTTGTGTTAGGTGCATGCATAGCAAAGTGAGTAGAGTGAGGAAGCCAAATAATACCGATATGTGAATAAATTATGTTTGATGGAGGAAAAAAATACTCGTACACTTAGTATGTATAAACGTTGGCCCTATTGTAATAATAAAATAATTCCACTGGTAGCTAATAAGCACCTTACTGGTTACTACTTGGAAAGTACAGGCCATTTACTAGAAAAAAAATCATGATGTGATGGACTGCTACTTTTTTACTTTTACTAGAGTAAAAATACATAGAGGTACTGCTACTATAACTTGAGTACACCTTTTGTGTACTCTACCCACCTCTGCTCTTCTTTTGCATCCAGGTAAAGATAGTCTTAGCAACATTATTTTCATCAAATATAAATACACCATTACCAAAATGTTTTATGGATTATTACAGTGAAGCTTTGTAAAACATGCATTCCATCACATTAACGTGTAAACCTTATTACTTTTCCTTCAAGGAATCCAGTGCATCTCATTGCTCAGAAGTTTCTGAAGAGAGTAGTGATTCTGGAGGGGGCAGAGGGAGAGCAGGCAGAGGAGCAGGAAGAGGAGCAGGGAGAGGAACAAGGAGAGGAGCAGCCAGAGGGAGAAACAGATATGAAAGTACAGGCCGGGGGAGAAGCCAGGCTAGAGGAAGAAGAGCTAGAGCAGGACGCATTAGTGAGGAAGACAGAGAACGGGTTGCTCAGATGTCTGCTGACAGAACTGCAGAGTTACAGGTAGGTCATAATGCAGAACACTAATACATTTCACAGTCATAAAGTTTATAAAATAAATGCTGCCTTTCGTTTT